AAAAAAAAAAAAAAAAAAAAATAATGAGATAGATATGAGCATGCGATATGAGTTCCAGGAACTAAATTAGTCACTGCCAAAATTAGGCGGAATTGTGCTCAAATCGAAAATACCTACTGCGTGGCTAAATTTAGTGTGTTTACGAACCGATATAACTTTCCTTCGATCGTTTTGAATCGGAGTCTCCTTTATGACTTATGGATGAGTGCACCAGCACGTGTTCGGGAAGGCCATACAGAACTTGACAGTAAGGTCTACCCAAAATTACCCATGCGTATTTCATTGATATGAATGACAATGGCCAATATCGACTTTATTACGTCACATAAATGTCAACAAGAGCTGAAAAAGCTATTGCATTTATAACACATGATAAAAAATCTCTAACGATGCTCTCAAAGTTCTGGCTGCTACTTTGGGGGAAGCTTCTGAACAGTACATAACAATTGATTCGTACTGGGACCACTCAATTATCACGATAGACGCCGACAAATTAACATAAATTAGTACTTCTTTAAATAAAAATTACCTTGAAAATGACTTAACGAAATTGTCATTTCCATTTTACAAACCATGAATTGTAAGGGATCTTTTGTCTCGATTTGAGGGTGGGATGTAAATGTTGTTACGCACAAATTATTTTTTCTGAATCCTACTTGTATTAATTATTTGTAACTTCCCTCTTAGGATTCTTGGTCAATATGTACCTCTGAGACTTTGACTTTACCTGTATCAAAACTCCGCACAAGGGAATCAGCCAAAAGTAGTATTCATTGGATGTTGGATGTTTTCCTGATCAATAAACTTAAATGAATTTGAATAAATGAACTTCCTATAGCAGCTTCAAAAACCAATAACTCGCAATTTTCATTTTTGTTGCGTGTAAAATTCTCCATATAGTAGCTGTTTACCAGAATAAACAGTTTCTATGTCAACCCTCATTTCAATAGTATGGAAATTTGAAGATGTAAATCAAGCTTTTGTCAGTTCAGTAGTCGTTTGAATTTGATTTCTAATTCTCAGGCAATCATCCATCGGCCAACACTTAGATAAATTGTCTCAATGGAGACTTTCTTCCTCATGAATTCTCGAGGTTCTGTAAATAATCTAGTCACTAGATTTATAGATCTGTATAAAATAAATAAAATAGAAAGTTTCATTATGATACTAGGGTTCTGCGGATAGCTGTGTCGTTTAAAGTGTTTACCACAAAATATTTTATGAATTATATAAATGCACGTTGAGCTAATAAATCTTTTAAGACGTTTGATCCGTTTTGTCACGCTTCCTTTCTTCCCTTCCGCACTCCGCCCGCTCATCACGACTGCCACGTCGTTGACTGATGAGTAAGAGATCGACCGGTACCGGCGCGACCACTCGGTCCGAGAGGGCGGTGGCAGAGCCGTGGTGGGGGCGGCGGTGGGGGCGGCGCTCCGCCCGTATAAAGGGCGAGGGGGCGGCGCGCCGGCTCCCACTCGAGCGCCGGCCGCCGTGGCGTCAGCTCCGCAGCCGTGGCGCCGCGTGCCCCAGTAAAGCGCCGCCGCCACCGCCACCGCCCCCGGTGCCGCCCCCGCCAGCACGCTTGTTTACCCCGATGGGCCCCCGCTGAGGTCCCGCACGCGCCGCGCTCCTCGCCGCGCTCCGGCCCCCGGGCCGCCAACACCACTCCCGGGCCGAGACACGCCGCCAACACGACGAAGCGCCGGGCCACGATCGCGGCGGCTGCCGCATCCACAGCAGCGGCCGTCGCCGCCGTCATCTCGTCGGAGAAGGTCCTCCAGGTGAGTGCAGCCCCGCCTTACCTCTCTTCTTTGGGTGCTCCTGTTATATGCCCCCACCCCCTCCAGGCCTGGAGGAATGCGTCCGTCCTGGTCTCCGCGTGCCTCCGGCATTCCTCGGCTACCCCCTTCTCCCCCCTCCCCCTGGCCGCAGCCCGCCATTCCAACCACCCACCGCACCCGTCTTGTAATGTGTCAGAAGGTCCACCACATTTGCTCGCCCCGTGCCCACACTGACTGTCCTAAATGCATGCTCGTATGGTTTCTTTGCTCATTTTACTTCAGCTGTCTCTTGATCTCTCTCTCTCCCCCCCTGAGTGTGTGTGTGTGAGAGTCTGTTTTGTGTGTGTGTGTGTGTGTGTGTTGTGTGTATATTGTGATGTGCGTCTATTGGTTTGCTTGCCTCATCTTGGACGTTGGGGAGCGGATTTAAATTTAGCAACCGCCCGTCCCGCGTACGTGACGGCGGGAAAGCAAAACGCCTTACTACTTTAACCGACTTTAACTTACTGACCTAAACGGTCCGCGTGCGGTTGCGCCCGATCCAAACAACATCGCACTCTGTACACACACGAAAGCGTTTGGCCGTCCGTTGGCGTTCCCCCCGCCCTGTTTACGACCCGCGCCGCGGCGACGTAGCGCCAATGAGCCTTGGCCAGAGAGAGAGAGAGAGAGAGATCCTCTGCACGTTCTCTCCACACGCGCGCTGGCCGCATCGCCGTTCTTTCACATCAGTTGCGCACGTGCCCGTTTGTTTGCCTGCACCGCACTTTTTTCTCCGTAATTCTTGCCCGGGGCGCATTCGCTAATACTTGCCAACAGCGAACAGTCTACACCCAAAAAACTGAGTTTTTGTACCTCGTGCATGACACTTGATCCTTGAGTTTTCAAGCGCATATATGTTTTGATGGTTCAAGTGATATGTACTTGTAAAAACAAGGATCAAGTGCAATGTACATGGTCTAAAGAACTCAGTTTTTGGTGTAATTTCTGAATGCGTAGTACGTGCACACTTTATCAGTGCATGCTAACATTTACATGCACACACACACACACAAATAAATACATA